CTATGAGGCACCCTTAGTTTCCAGAGTCGGATTTGCGTCCCCGGGGCTCGATTTTTTACATCTTAATATTTAAAATTATAGATTATAAATTTTTAAAGCAGGGATTTTAAATGCTTTACTGTTCAAAATTCTTTTGTATTTTAAATTTGCGAATTACTAAAGCACAAACTCGTAAAAATTGTGTACCACGAATTGTCTATTAAATTACTCTTTATGGTTTCGGTCCAAATACACCAAAAATATTTCACTATATTGTTAAACTATTTATAAAATTATTTCACTATTATGTTTGTTTTGTTAAGTAAGTTACTTGATGAATTAACGTTTAAATTCTGAAAATTTGAACTAATTTCGAAAAATAGGGCGCCCTCTCCTAGGCGAAATTCGACACGATTTTTCCAGTGGCTTTCCTACTGAGTACTGGCTGAACTGTGTCCGATTTTCTCCTACTACTGTACCAAGGTCTTGTTTACTCATTGTGAAGGCCGTTTAGGCAGCATGCAGGCAATTAGCAATCAATCATTCAACCCACCAATGACCGTTTCTTCTAGGGGAAGAATTTCGTCATGGTCGGACCAGAGTGTTATGTTTCGGCATACCTACTCTATATATTTTATTTGAATTCCACATTTCAACAACAGTTGAAAGTTAGGTTTGGAGTAACATTATGCATCATGTTATTGAGGCGTTATTATTGTGTAGCCTAGCTTCTAGGCCTACAGTTTATCAATAATAATCTTATTGTTCAGGAATTGGTGTTGGCTCTGATGATATACTGTAGTGTTATAGCACATCACCTTTATTTAGACAGTGCAGTTTTTAGACATTTAGGCCTAAGCCTAGCCAGTTTTTCATAGGACCAGGCCTATAACTAGGCCTATAGTATTATTAGTAGGCCTAGGGGCCTAGGTCTATTATGAAAAAATATGCACTAGCACAACTAATGTGACAAAGTCGCCATGGAATGACAAGTCTAGGCTAGTAGTAGAAACCTACTAACTTTACCGTCAGCTGGATAAGACTGCGTGCGAGCTCACCTGCTGCCGGACTGGAGCAGTGTCCCGGTCAGGAGTGCGCTACTACTGCTGCTGGGTAGACACTGACTGTGCTCTCCTAGGCATAGGCCTAATTATTAAAACAAACAAGTCATCGGACTGATATACGTTTATTAATTCAATTGAATTATTCCTCCATGATTGAATTGACGTTGACTAAACCTCCTCTCTGTAAGTGCGTACTGTACGTAAACGATCACAAAAACTCACACTACTGTATGTATTGTCTAGGCTAGTTGCTCTATCGTCGGGACGATTTTTCGATCAGCTGCTCGCCAAAATTGACAGACTGGTCTTGAATATTAATGAGTTGGTTAGAAAATGCTACCAAGCTACTGAAAAAAGTGACCAGCTTCGTTTTCACCTGGTTTTCCTGTCTCATTATATCATGTTTTGTTTCTGTAATTATCGTTACATCTCAACATTTTGAATTTTTGTAAGTATTTTTCCCGAACTCAGGAAAGGTTAAATAAGCAATATATGGCCACTTGTCTCATATCCCCGCACTCCCCCTTTAAGGTCCCCCTTTAAGGTTCAGATAGATGATGTGAATAATATTTCGCTGTGTAAATTACAGAAAAATCCAAAAAATCCAAAATGTTTCCAAATATTTTCAAAACAAAATTCCAAAAATTTCAAAATTAAAAATTCAAAAATTCCCAAAGAAATTTCTCCAAAAATTGCAAAAAATATATAAATATATATATAAAAAAAATTAAAACTTAACTCCAAAATTTAAACAAAAATCCAAAAGGAACCATCACTATGATTAACAAAATTAATCCAAATTACCGAAATTAACCAATATTGGGGTTTTTTTTCTGTAATTATTACACAGCATATTGTTGGGAGGGGGATTTTAAAGAGAAATAAGTATGACCCACATCATCTATCCGATTTTCTAATATTCTTTATTTTTTTTCCACGTTACAAACGGTCTTACGTAATATTGAAACACGCGTTTATCCTAGTATGACCTTAGTTTAAACTAGGTGTATAATATGTCGCTGTCTTGGTTTTTTACATCGATCATTATGACTTACGTGTTTTTATCGTTTCCATCGTGCTTATCCCCAATGAATTTAGCTGGAGTCAATGGGCGTGAAGGTTTAGTAACCTTAGTAATTGTTTACAAATTGTCCAAGAAGAAGCTCTGAGATACAGGTGAACCGTTAAGTCGCACTTACAATAACCGACAGGCAGGCAGGTATCATTGATGACACTAGCAGGTTAAAGTAACAGTCGTGAGGAAAGAAGACTTGTTTTTACATTATGCGTTGATAAGTTTTTACATTATGCGTTAGAAAATGTTTTTACATTACGTGTCAAAAGTCTTTACATTATGCGTTAGCAAAATGTTTTACATTATGTGTTGATTTTTACATTATGCGTAATTTTTTTACATTAAGTGTCAAACCTTTTTACATTATGCGTTAAGCACTTTTTTATTTACATTATGCGCCATTTTTACATTATCGGTTGTTACACCTCTCACCTATCTGAAAAATAACTACCAGATCCACCAAATTCCTTTTTCGCAGAGCTTAGCAGTACCTTTTTCAGGTTCATATGGCATAATAAACTTGATAAAATAAATAGATCCACGCTCATTTCGGACCTTAATGAGAACGGGCTAAAAATGATTCACATTAAGTCATTCTGCCATAGCACAAAAACTATATGGATCCAAAGACTGTTTTTAAATAAACCAAATAAATGGACCTTTTTTGGCACTACTCTACTAAATTGTTAGGTGGAAGTCTAATCTGGAAATGTAATTTTAAACATAATGAAATTTTTTGGACATGAAAAAAAAAAGAATTTATAAAACATGTTTTGGTGGCATCGAGCAAATATATTTTTACAAATGGTGAGAGTATTATTAACCCAAAGCTTCATATTATATGGTGTAATAGTCTGATTAAGTCAAATAATAATGTTTTATTACCTCCTTCAACTCTCTTGCATAAAGTAAAATATGTAAATGATACTTTAGACGAAGGAGGTACTGTTTAAAGTTATAATAACTTCAAGACCAAATTTGATACCACGTTTGGTTTTTTTTTTTTATAGTATTACAAAATAATATCAGCAATTCCAATAGATTGGCTAAAATTATGTAAAAATGTTTATTGTAAGCTAAAAAGTACCGGTAAGCATTCTTCGAAACCGAATTTCTGAATTGAAATGGAATTCTAAAACTACATTCCCTATTAATTTCGACTGGCTTTTTGCTTATAAAATACATTTTGAATGCACCACTGATTCAAAATTACAATATTTCCAATATAAAATTATTCATAGATATTCCACCTTTATGTACGTTTTGTAAAAGCAATACAGAAAATATTTTGCATCTCTTATGGGATTGTAGGTATGTTAGAGATATTTGGTTATACTTAAAAACATTGCTCAATATTGACCTAGATAAATGGTCCATGTTATTTGGTTTAAAGTGTGCCAGAAATAAGATGTTGTTTAATCTTATACTACACATCACCAAGTTATATATTTTTCCTTGGAAAATAAAGATCAAACCCACTAGAGGTGTACTTATTAATAAAATTAGGTATTTCCACAAAATAGAAAATCTTATTTACAAAAGAAAACAAAAATGATCAAAATTTAAGAAGAGATGGGAATGATAACTCATATGATATAATGGTTCTGGCTTATGATATGCGAGAAGAAGAAAAAAATCAAGAGAGGTTTATTTTTTTGTTTGTTTTTGTTTTTGTTTTTTTTTCTCTCTCTCTCTATCTTCTGTCCCCATTGGCTTATATGCAATTGGCTTGTATCTTCTTGGGGATTGTATGTTAGAGAATAACTCACCATAAGTTAAAACTACTGTTGAGATCAACATAATTAAAATAATATATTTCCATGGAATAAAAAAGAAAAAGAAAAGATATTTACAAGAGAAGACGGTGTTAAAAAAAAATAATGTGATGAGAATGCAATAATCATAATCATTGTTTACTGTAGATTCCTGGTTTTGTTATTTAAAAAAAATAAAAGATGTGTGGATTTAAAGGATATTTTTTACCGCTACTTATCTGATTTTGTGGAAATTAACTTGTTAAATTTTAGGAGTGGTCTTTTTTTTTCAATTTAAAGGAATGACTCTTTTTTTCTGTCATGTTTTTATTTTTTTCTCTCTTTTTTCTGCCTTTATTTAATGATAAAAACACTTTAATATTTTAATGAACTTTTTTTGGCTTTGAAATCTTTGTCATGTCTTTTGAAGAGGAATAAAAGAAAATCCTGCAATACAAGTAATAACAAACACGCCACTAATAACAGGCAGGCAGGTAGGCAAATAGGTATGTTGTTTGCGATTGATATCGTAAAAAGCTTAATACTCGTCATTGAACCTGTTGTTTTATTTGTTAATTGTGTTCGACTTCTTTATTTTTCTATATCCCCCTTCATATGTTTTTGTTATTTTTTTTTTTCAAATGGAGACTTGTTGAAGCGTATAGTAGACATCTGCTAGAGAAATATATTAAATTGCTGTAGTGTCTACCAATTACTCTCATTTACACTTATACAAAAGTATTGACATAGACCTACTAGCATTCTAATCAGCAATAACTCTCAGTATCCAAAAGCAAACAAATCATAAAGAGACGTCACCAGGTCATGCTTTTGCAGGGAAGAGGGGCGAATACTAGTACTAATCGGGGATTTTTTCCACGGTTTGGTAGGGGCTATAGAAAATGCGGTACGTTCTCTTAAAGCTCTGAAGTGTTAACAAATATAAGAAGTTAATAATATCTTAAACGATTTCGCAATTGGAAAGAGCACAACATGCCACACTTTCCTTCTACTTCAAGTTCAAGACGTGCGGATGGAAAAATGCACACGCGCTCTCTCAGCTAAGGACAAATTGCCACACATTTGTTTAACCCTATACCCCATGTGACAGAAAATTGCTGCACTTACTTGTGCATTGTCATAGAAAGCAACCTGCCACGGCCAAGCCCCGGGTCTGGCGTCAGCACCGCCAACCACTCTTCTTGATCGTTGTAAGTTGCTTCCGCCAATTCCACCGCTAATTCCACACTGAGAAAAATCTAAAATGTCAACATCATTAGAATAAATACTCGACTCTGAGGCATGGTTAATTTTACATGAATAGAATATTTATGTAAATCTTTTTGAGGTATACAAGTGATGGAAATCTTGAGGTCGGATGTTCAATCCCTCGCTGTGGATTTCGCTTGTGTTTCTAGGCAAGGCACTTTACCTACGGTTGTCTTTCTCCGCCGAGGAGTGCTAGCGGGTTCCTGGTTCAAACACAAAATGCAGCTGCAATATCATAGAATGATAGAAGAGCTGAGTATGGGCCCCATATTTTATTGATTTATTTTTTATATAAACCGTATTTAATTCAACCATTCAACAGAAGCTGATCAATTTGGGCTAATGACCGGAGGTAATAGTTATTGTGAAATGTTTAACGGGCCTTGTTGCAATTTAAGCGCTATCTAACATTCGAACTGCGTATTTACCATATTCAACGTTGGAAATTGGATTGCGGTGATTTGACCATAGAGAAATTACTTCCCTATACTGTATAATATATAGTTACCATTGTAAATAGTTTTTCTTGTGTTTTTCCTGTGTTGTGGCTATTTGCTCAAGATTGCATGCAAAGCAATTAAAGAATTTTAAATCGACTGAAACTGAAAGTATTTACTGTATTCAGTGGCGGAAAGTTTTTTCATACCTTCAATTTCGCATGTAGGAAACTTGGTTGCCCAATTTTTTGTTGATTTAAGGCACTTAATTTTTTTTTGTCCATTCAAATCGTAGCCGGGATCACAGGTGAATTTGACAAAACCGCCAATTTTATTCTCTCTTCTGGTAGTAAAATAGAAGTTGCCATTTTCTGGTCTCTCTGGCATCGAACAACCTAAGAAAAGGGATGAAATTAAACTTCAATGATAACAGTATAATTAATGTTCATTACATAAATAATTTATTAACATTTTCATGACATTAATTAAAATGTGCAGTAGCGCATTCGGCTAGACCGGTGGTAACCACTGTGTGCGCGCTGAGACGCAGTGGCGGATCTAAAAGTCTTGAAATTATACACATCTAGATGTGTATAAGAGACAGGGCATAGGTATGTTGTTTGCGATGGGGGGCGAAGGTGAAGGGGGCTCGATGAGCAGTTAAGAGGCGCTAATTCGTAAATATGGTGATATTTTAGGTGATTTTTAACTACTTGACCGTGATATTTGCGGGGGAAAGTGGGAGGGGGGTCCCCTGCCCTTCCCTAGATACGCCACTACTGAGACGTGGAGATCTCAAATTCCCCGGTTAATTTCCTATCGCAGCTCTCCTTGTTTAGCTGAAGGGCTGAAAGACAGGTTACGATGAGGATAACTTTTGGATGAGACGTTAAGGCCATTGGTCCCGTGTGCACTATAGCCCATGTTTGTGCATTAGGCCTACTATTCGGAAAAATTCGTGCACTGCCCATCCACCACCAGAAGGACTTCACTGGAAATAAGTCTTCAGACTTCCGTGGGTTATCCTTGGTATACACCGAATAAATCCATCCATCCATCTAAATGATACAGTATACTGTATAAATCAACTATGGTTTTGATTGGTGTTTGTGGAGTGTAAAGAATACTAGTGGTTATTACTAGAACAAATTATAAATATGCTTAAAGAATTTATACATAGTTACCAACCCGAGAGATTTGAAATGCGTGACTACACAAGAGTTTGGCTTAGGGAACGGAGCAAACAGGGCCCCGGGTTGCCGGGCAAAGCCCCGGTGGGGGTCCGGGTGTCAGTCACATAATAAACGGTTGGTTGCGACAATGAGCAAGCAAGATCGCGTGTGCCTCCTAGATTCTACTAAGTGCGTTATTGGCTGGGTTGAGAAAGAGATATTTTCTCCGTGAATTGATTCTCGAACGAGATAATGAAAGCCTTCAATGACTCTAGTTACAGGATTTTTTTTTTGTGCTGAATGCGTGATATATTTGTGATCACGCATGTATTTCTGCAAAATACGTGTTTCAACAAAAACCACTTCGAAATACGGGATCGCCCCGCACGATGCGAGACGGTTGGTAACTATGTTTAGGAACTTCTAAAAATGTTTACTCCTTACATTTGTGTTCATTCAGGGCCGGCGGAACGTTTTTTAAAGTGGGGGGGGGGGGAGGCCCACTTATAAGATGAATGGGAATATGAATCATGCAGATCGGGAATCAAACCTAGGTGGTGGGGTCAACATTCCTCCCCCGGGAAAATTTAGATTTCTAGATGGCTGGAAATGACCTTTCTCGACTTTTGAACTGGGTGTCTAATGATTTTGTTCTTCAAAATTCAAGGTTTTCCCCTCTTGAAAACAGTAAGGTAAAATTTCTCATTACAGTAAATAGGCCTGTTATGTGTGTATACCTTAAGAAAATGAGTAGTTGCATATCGTATTCTTTTTTCAATGAATCGATAAGCTGAAAAGAAAAGGGGGGTCCATCCTAGATGGCGGAAAATGAGCTTTTCCCTGACTCCTGAGGTGTCTTAATTACTTTTAAGTTTTTCAAAATTCAAGGTTTTCCCCTCTTGAAAACGGTCACGTAATTTGTTCCCATTGTTATTACAGTAAAGGCCTTATGTGTCTATACACACAAAACATTAAAAAAAAAATAGTAGTTGCATACGAATTTTCCATGAATCGATGAATCCCAAAAAGAAAGGTGGGGAAGGGGGGGGGTCCGGGGGTCCTCCCCCAGGAAAATTTTGATTCCTAGAAGGCCGGAAATGAGCTTTCCCGACTTCTGGGGTGTCTTTTAATTACTTTTAAGTTCTTCAAAATTCAAGGCTTTTCCTCTTGAAAACGGTCAGGTAATTTTTTAACATTGTTATTCAGTAAATAAACCTTAAGTGTATACATACATAAACATTTTAAAAAAATGTGTAGTTGCATACGAATTTTCCATGAATCGATGAATCCCAAAAAGGAGGGGGGTCCGGGGGTCCTCCCCCCAGAAAATTTTGATTCCTAGAAGGCGGGAAATGAGTTTTCCCGACTTCTGCGGTGTCTTTTAATTACTTTTAAGTTCTTCAAAATTCAAGGTTTTTCCCTCTTGAAAATTATTATAATGAATCAGTGAACCCAAAGAGAAAAGGGAGGTTCAGGTTCTTTTCGGGAAATTGTTGATTTATAAATGGTTGGAAATGAGCTTTCCCGACTTCTGAAGTATCTTTTAGTGACTTTAAAAGTTCTTCAAAATTCAAGGTTTTCCTCTCTTCAAAACGGTCAGGTAAATTTTTCCCATTGTTATTACAGTAGATAGGCCTTACGTGTGTATACATAGGCCTACACAAAAAATTGAGTAGTTGCATACGACTTTTTTTTCGATAAATCGATCGATAAATCTCAAAAAGAAAGGGGGGTCCGGGTGTTCTCCCCCAGGAACATTTTGATTCCTAGAAGGCGGGAAATGAGCTTTTCCGACTTCTGAGGTGTCTTTTAATTACTTTTAATTTCTTCAAAATTTAAGGTTTTCCCCTCTTGAAAATTATTATAATGAATTAATGAACCCAAAGAAAGGGAGGTTGGAGTTCCTCCCGGGAAAATGTTGATTTCTAAGTGGTGGGCAATGATCTTTCCCGACTTTAAATTCTTTAAAATTAAAGGTAATAATTTTTTTTCCATTGTTGTTACAGTAAATAGGCCTTATGTGTGTATACAAACATAAAAAAAATTTTGAGCAAGTTGCATACGTATTTTTTTCCATGAATCGATAAATCCCAAAAAGAAAGTTGGGGGGGGGGGGGTCCTGTGGTTCTTCCACGGGAAAATTTTGATTCCTAGGTGGCGGGAAATTAGCTTTCCCGACTTCTTAGGTGTCTTTTAATGACTCTTAATTTCTTCAAAATTCAAAGTGCCCCCTCCCCAACTCTTGAAAATGATTCAATTAATCAATGAACTCCAAAGAAAAGGTCCGTGTTCCCCGGGAAAATTTCGATTTCTAGATGGCGGGAAATGAGCTTTCCTGACTTCTGAAATGTATTTTAATGTATTTTAAGTTCTTCAAAATTCAAGGTTTTCCCCTCTTGAAAACAGTCAGGTAAATTTTTCTCATTTTTTATTTTATGTGTGTATTCATACATAAACAAATGAGTAGTTGCTTGCGTGTTCTTTTTGCCATGAATCGATAAATCCCAAAAAGAAAGGGTGGTCCAGGGGTTCTCCCCCTTGAAAATGTTGATACCTAGATGGCGGGAAATGGGCTTTCCCGACATTTGAAGTGTGTTTTAATGACTTTTATGTTCAAAATTCTAATTTTCTTAATGTAACAAAAAAAAAAAAAAAAAAAAAAAAAAAAAAAAAAAAAAAAAAAAAAAAAAAAATCAGCTCACGGGTCCTGAAAAGGTAGGTCTAGAATTCTTTTTCTTTGTCGCGGGCCGCTAGAAAATCGCTGACGGGGAGCGTGCACTTTGCCCACCTGTGATCTAAATGATATAGGCCTATAAATCAACTATGATTTTTATTGGTATTTGTGGAGTGTGCAGAATACTAGTGGTTATTACTAGAACAAATTACAAAAATGCTTAAAGAATTTATAGGAACTAAAAATGTTTACTCCTTACATTTTGTGTTCATTTACTTACGTTTAACGGATTCACATGTTCTCAGTAAATGAAAAGTGAATACAACCAAAAGTAATCTCATCTTCAATCTGAAACAATGTCAAAGTTTGATAGATAATCATAACTAGGAAGCATATCAATTGGGATAAAACAATAAAAAAAAATAACTAGGAAGCATATCAATTGGGATAAAACAATTAAAAAAAAATGATAGCAAGTGAAGTGAAAGAAGTTGATTAAGAAAACATGAGGTGAGACGAGATGAGATGGCAGAAAGAGATGATGAGATGAAATGAGATAATTGAGAATTGAATAAATGCGATGAGATTAGATAAGGTAAGATGAAAGCAGTTGTAAGTGAGATGATGAGATAAGATTAGATCACTGCGATGAGATGCAGTGAGGTAAGACAAGATTAGACTTGAGATGGTGTTAGGCGAGATGATTAGATGAGATAAGCGGAAATAAGTTGAGATGTGAGATGAGATGAGATCATTGCGATAAGATGAGACAATTTTAGGCTTGAAATGGTACTGTTAGGCGAGATGATTAGATGAGATAAGGGGAGATAAGTTGAGTTGAGATAAGATAAGATGAGACGAGATTTAGGCTTAAATGAGATAAGGGAGGTAGGTTGAGATAAGATGAAATGAGATTAATTTATGAGATAAGATGAGATATGAGATGAGACCATTGCGATAAGCTGAAACAAGTTTAGGTTTGAGGTGGTGTTAGGTGAGATGATTAGATGAGATAAGGGGAGATAAGTTGATGAGACGAGATTAATTTGAGATAAGATGAGATGTGAGATGAGATCATTGGGATAAGCTGAGACAAATTTAGGTTTGAGATGGTGTTAGGCGAGATGATAAGATGAGCTAAGGGGAGGTAAGTCGAGATGAGATAAGATGAGACGATATTAATTTTTCATGGATAAAATGAAATTTAAAGATGAGACATGATGAGATGAAACGCAGTAAGATGCCATGAATTGAGATAAGATGAAATGAGACAAGATGAGATGAGACGAGAAATGATGAGATGAGTATACAAGATGATGAGTTGAACTGAGATAAGCTAAGACAAATGATAGGTAGATGAGATAAGAAATGATCAGATGTGATAGGATAGAATGAGATGAGAAGAGACAAGACAAGATATGATATGCCTAAGATAAGATAAGATAGAATTCACAATATGGTCAGTTCAACACTGAAAAAACGACAGCCATACAAAGATCCAATATGTCTAGATACGCGAAAATACTAATTTTAAATCTTAATTTAAACGATATTACTAATTTAAAAACTATATCTAAAGATATTTAAAGACTAATATCTATTAGGCCTATAATTTAAATACGTCAAAAAGATGGTTTTAACGAAAAAGAATGACAAGCCCTAAGCTTTGCGAGGTAATATACACAACGATTTATAGGCTATACTAACTGGTAATATTTAACTGCATGCTTACCTGTAATTATAGATGCCTCGACTACAGAACAGTAATCAATGAGCGCTCTTTGTTAAAATCGGTTGCTACTAGACCACTAAGGAAATCAGTTATCATTAAACTTTGTTTCACAAATGTTCAAGCGCCTGAAGTTATATCCGGGTTACAGATCTAGTAGAGGAAGCCGATCCCAGGAACCTTTTGCGCATTACAGGAACTATTGGTGTTAAAAGATTAATAATTTATGGGAGGTAAAGTTCTTCTAAACTTCTAGTCATGGAGGTATTAGTGACTGATACATCCATAGTTAATCCTAAAATTCCTTAAACAATTGATAATCACATAATTTATATTACGATCTATATTACACTGTAGTATATTTTTTATATTAAAAATATTACAGTACTTTATTATGATATGGATAAATGACAAGGAGTTTATAGTTTATGCAACAAACTGTCGATATTCAAATGATCTAAATGATCAGCAGTAGGTAGATGGTTGAACCACCAACCTCGATAAATATGGTTCAAATAAAATAATAAAATGTAATAGAGACTGCCACTCACGAGCTGGACTTCACACAAACACCAAACAGTGTCAACGACCTTAGTCGATCAAATCGACCTCTATCCTTATTTTTCTTTTTAGCTTCTTTTCATTGTTTTACTATTGTTATTTTTTTATTATTATTATTATTATTGTTTAACTTAACAACAATATTAAGATAGCACTCAAATAAAAAAGTATATCAATGCAGACGACTGCGGGATGAAATAAAGCAAAAGTAAAATTTCTAAATCAATTGCACAAATTACACTAATCTAGGTCAACAAAAGCAGCCCTACCCTCCACCAAGGTATCATGTGTTTTGTAACTTTATGTTTGATAAACTAAACTAATTAATCAATTAAAAAAAAAACCATTCTAAATAATTAATTTCGTAATAAATTATAATTATTGGAGTGATCATTATTTTTGTTTTGTGATGAATTGTGATTTATTATACTTTCATTGGTAACTTGTTGTTTTTCCAGTAGGAATTTAATAAAGAAACCTTAGCTGCCTTTCATATTGCAGAAAAAAATAAAATGGATAATTCTCGAGTTTTAAACATAATGACCAATCAGAACGTGTTATAAAATAGGAATACTCGCCAATTTTACGACTGTACGTTTCAGCTGTCATTTTGATGGACCTTAGGCGAGACCTTTTTTTATACCTTGTTTAAAGAACACGCCACACCTGCAAATAATGATGATTTCAAATAAAAATAAAATTTGATTATCTGGCCAATTAGCACACCCGCTGCAACAAGAAAATGGGAATTCCATAAAAAATGCAAGTTTTCTTTTCCTCTTTCTTTTTCTTTCCGCCGCTGCCTTTAAATATCCAAAAATAAAAAATATGTATACTTTTTCCTAATTATATAAAACTTAAAGCATTTAGCCTTCCCATTACTACACTGTTTACATTCAACAATAAAATTATATTTATATATCCACCTTCGTCTAGATGTATTTGGGAAAACTATTTGCTAAATAAGAAAAAAATATATTATTTTATATTTTTTCCACCCTCCACTGACGATCTTTAAAATATAAACAGAGTATAAAAAAAGTCTCGCCTCAGCAACAATATCCAAGAATTACAAATTAGCGCTGTCTCTAACAATAAAAAAAATAGACAATGGAAAATGAGTCCGTATGTTAAGTTCAGTGCACTTACAATGAATAATTTTTTTAATTAAGAGATTTAATGAGAATTAATTGATTCAAACAAAATTTAAATTGTAGCCATTCTTGGCTCTACATGATATCACTCAGTTATCATAAATATATAACAGTTTACTCCACTGAATTCTAAAATGCTAAACCTCCACATCTTATTACTGTACTGTAAAAACAATGAAGCATTGTAATCCCTTCCATAATACTACAACCTAATTAGCTTGTTTTTTATTTATTCATATTTGAAGCTTATGTTATGTAATGTTACAGTACATAGTAAATTTATTCTGAACTCAATATAATTTACACAATCATTCAAAATTTTAATTTGGAAGCATTTCGAATGTTCTTTTATATATATTTCATTATTTAAATAATATATTAATCCCATTGTCATCTAGTGTTCATAACAGTAAGGCATTGTGTACTTGACATCTCTTGTTATTTCTGAGTCGGGTACTGCCTTCGTTGGCGATAAGCTCTAGAGGTCGGGCCAGAAGTTGAGGGACTTGGTTGCATCATAGGTGGTTGGAAGCTCTGTTGAGAGAATTGCTGAGGATTGAACATCATCGGCATCGCAGGTACGGCTGGCTCTGCTGAAGCTGTTGAGTCCCATTGGTTTGACTGTCCCTGAAATGGACCATAAATTGGAATAAATATATATAATAAACAATAATAATAATAATAATAATAATAATAATAATAATAATAATAATAATAATATAAATAATAATAATAATAAATAGTGTAATAATACATCATGTTCTGAAGATAGATTACTGCTAAGTGGTCTGGAGTTATCATAAGCCAGGGGGAAAAAAGCTAATTTTTTAGTTTAAATGTTGAGCCACAAAACTTTATTACTTGACAGCGACAGATCACGGGTTGAATTTCTGCCAGTGCCAGGGGAACTTTTCCAAACAATTGATAAGGAACTTTTTTGTTGAATAGGCTATGTACGATGCGATTTTTACATCATCATCCTTTATTTCGAGCATGTTTCTACCATTATTCGATTATTCATTTATTTGATTATTCATGTATACTACATGCAGCCACATTGATTCTATATACACAGGTACAGTATATAGATTATTAAAAACAAAACGTTGTTTTTATTTGATATTACATTCTTAACATTAAATAACCAGACGGATATTTTATGGCCAACCACAGCAAGATTAATATCTATCAAGCAGTGCGTGTATAATGTGATGGCCATTACCCTACAGGGAGTGCCAAGCTGTAATCAACAAATCAGAAAAGGGATTGCATCACTCAGCCACATTAATACTGAGATTGATATCTATTCCCCTCGCACCCACTTATCTAAAAGTAGCAGTAGCAGGGGCGGATCTAGAATTTTACAAATGGGAAGAAAGGGGGGGGGGGCATGTATTTGTCAACTATACTTATTCATAACTAGCAGTAGCAGGGGCGGATCTAGAATTTTACAAATGGGAAGAAAGGGGGGGGGGGGCATGTATTTGTCAACTATACTTATTCATAACATGGCATATATACAGTATATACGTGGCATTGTTATGTATTAACATTTAAAAATGTCCCATGCACTACCCCATCCCCCCATCACACACACATCTGCTCCTGAGTGTCAACAAGTGACTGGTTTCTGACCCATGGTCACACATTGAATAAAGGGTGAGTTTCTAAAGACATTGAGATGCAGTTTAATGTCCCTGAATATTCTTATGACCTTGGTGTTGTGTTTCAATTAAAATAAAAGAAATATAATTATATTACTGCGTGATTGCAGAGATATGAAGAAGACATGCTGTATTACAAGAAAATATAGTCATGGGTGGAACATGAGCAGATTATTACAGGCTCAAGTAATTATATATTAATGAAAAAAAATTCTTAATGCTCCAACACTGATTGGAAAACCCATTATGTTAATAACCCCTACAAAGTAGTAGAGGTTTAGGCGACAATATTAGAAAATTTAAATAAAATACCATGCATAAAGACACTATATAATAATGATCTGAATTTCAAAATTCATTTTGGATTAAATATAAATTGAGGTTATGTAATGGAAGTTGAAATATTAATTAATATTATTTAAAAAAGCGTAATATATATGTAGTGTAGTTAGATAACTGAATTTACAAAAGTAATAAAAATACAGTAGAAAAATCAGATACAAGTTTAGTTCATAATTTTAAATCATTTTTTCGTGCAAACTGCTTCAACAGAATATAAGCCACAACTTTACGTTTATTATTACTTTATTTATTTAGGCACAATTAAGGACCAAGAATATGCCAATGACGATTTTATAGAGCAATCCGCTTCACAAGAAAAACATGCACATCAGATGCTCTACATAAACATTATGATGTTTGGAGTTGTTTTTGGACATGAGAAAAAGTTGTTACTTTGAGGCCTAGGCTAGATCTACTTTGCCTATCTTGGCCTGTTTTTGTCCACTATTGGCAGTTGTTACTTTGAGGCCTAGGCTAGATCTGCTTTGCCTATCTTGGCCTGTTAGGTCCACTATTGGCACTTTCTGGTCTTTATGTATAAACTCACCAAAAAACAGCCCAATTATATTTTTCAAATGAGAAGAGCTTATACCCAATGAACTACAGTAATAAAAACTTTTGAAAAAAAGGAACATAATAGAGAGAAAAAACAATCTAGAACATTATGTTTAAAATACATATTACAGATACAAATCGCTTGATAATTAATATCTGCATATGATTATGAAGAGTAAATTTTAAAAATATAAGAAAAAAAGAAAAAGAACTGTGCAAAACATCAGAATTTATAGCCTGCTTAGAAATACCCACCTTTCTCAGAAGGGAAAAATAAACTTGGGAAGAAAAATTGATGGAAATTTGCAGAGATTTAGGGAAAAAAGCAAATACTATCTACCAGTACTAAGGGAGGGGTGTAAACTTTGAGGAGGATATAGAAACTTAAAAGAGGGGTATAATGTTAAAATAAATCTGTAACATACAATTGTATTGGACCTAAGCAAATCAACATCCAAATAGACCTGTTAGTGAGTAAGCAAATTAGTATCAACAGAAATTAAATTATAATCTATTCTACAAATAACTTAGGTGACTATCACAGCATAATTAATTCCATTAGATTGGGTGTTAAAAACAGTATCATCCTGAGCTCTCCAAAATTGACTGGCTATGTAATCACATTTTTATTATTTTAATCAATCTTACTGCAATCAGACTACATAAGTGTACCTGCAAATATGTCAGCCAATGTGAGGGCAATTATTTAGAGTACATTACAGTAGTTAAAGCCTGGTTAATGTAGACAATTAAGGACATACCGTATATATATTTGAATAAACGCCCTACTTTGAACAAAAACGTCACTGCACTATTAATAAACGCCATCCGCCCCCCCCCCCACCTCTAGAGCCTCATTTGCAATAAACACCTACCTCAAATATACGAGTGAAATTAAAGGGTGTTTATTAGCGAGTATATACATATCCATTTTACACCAAAAAAAGTAACACTTCTTTCAAATAACACCTCCCTTGAATAAAGGCCTCCCTTAAATAAAAATCCCCATTGGAAACCCTTCTCAACAATAAACTACCCAAGCGTTTATTCAAATAAATACGGTAGTTTTTTACATGCAAGGCATGAATAGCACCATAAAATAACAGTATCATTGATATAATAAAACCTCCATGGATATACAGTAATAGCTACTAGTCTACTATTTCAACAATAATCATAATATAAACAGACAGAAAGCTACCTGACTGAAATTGGGTAACTTTGAGTCATGTTAAGCTGAACTTACAGTATGATATGTTTGAAATAAAAAAAAAATTCACATTGATAACTTCTTTGTTCCGATGTTTGATGGAGAGCTTAATCCCTGCCCCCTGCCGCAGTACTAATTGAGATAAGAGATTAAACAATAAATGATGATACCTTTTGAGTTGTGGGATGAACTGTAAATAATAACCTTTAATTCCATAACCTTTTTTCGGGGAATTTCCCTACTTTGTTAGATTCGGATGCAATCAAAGAAGTTATCATGACACAGCACTTATAGAGATTTAATAAAGCAAAAAAAAAAAAAGCCGATCCTAAAAATCATGTTTAATAACAAATAATTAAGACTGCTTACATTCATAATTCGTTTCCTATCAGTATCCTTTATCTATTAAATGAGGACTTGTAATTTACCTTTAAACAAAACCCTTCATTTCAGAAACCACCTCTGTAGCAAAACACTTTTATACTTTCTTAACACCTTTAATGCTATTTCAACAGTTGATCATGGAAGAATGACCCAAACACCATAGTTGAATACAATGTCATTTATATACAACATGTATTTATTGGATTTGTGTTATTAATCAACAAATAAATTCATAATTAATATCATTTAACAACAAAACTTTATGAAGGTTAAGTACAACTTTGTTATTGTTAAGGAAATAATATAATTAATGCAAACTCAAAACAATTAGTGAAAATAATAAAATACAACTAAATTAGTGCATGTTTACTATAAGTGTTCTATTCCTATATGTTAGCAGTGGCGGATATCCAAGGGGTTTGGAAAGGGGAAATGAGCATGGCAAATGGGAATGGCACTGGGAGGAGAATGCCAATGGAATGGAGGTGCACAAATATTAGAGGAGGGTAGTGCATGGCAAGTGAAGGACCATACCATGTAAGAGAAGCATGGCGAGAGAAATGACAAAGGGAAGGTAAGATACAGTAAAGGCATAGATGGGACAAGGGAAGAAAGTACAGTATGGCAAGAGTATGGAAAAGCATGGCAACAGATGGGAAAAGTGAACAAAAGAAGGAGATTGAGAGAAGAGAAAAGAGAAGAGAAGGAGGAGGGTAGCATTACAATAGTAGCAGAATGACAAAAGTAGGACAAAAGAAGGAATGGACATTAACTAAGGAAGGAGTATGGCAAGAAATTATAGTGTGACAAGGGTGATAATAAGAAGATAGAAAGGCTAGTATGGACATGCTATTTGAATTGACTGACTTGGTAAACAGCCTTTTATTCATTTTTTATTCTCATACTATAATCTCCTCTTTCATATTTTCATTATTATTTTATTTTCTTTTTTATCTTGGTATATTAGGCGTGATGTTACAATCAATATTGTTGAGGGCGGTCTCAATGTTTATTTAATTTAAAAGCCATGAAATACTAGCACCTAGGGCTGAAACCTGGTGTGAGCCACTGTCAAAAGTGCCAGCTGGGGTATTGAAGCATGGCCAGCCAAGAATGGTCAGGGTGATTTGGAACTCTCTACAACAAGGTTCAGAACCTGAAGGGAAACAGCTACGCCAAACCACCTTCCATCTTGAAGCCTTATCACCATCTTCGTTTCGATAGAGTGTAGTTAAAGGGCTAGTTGGCACATTATAAACCCATGTATTTTTTTAAAACTATTGTTTCTCACTAATTATTTTACTTATACTGTAGAATTATTAAGAATTGAAATGGCTATAATGGTAAACTACATAAATTGATCTCAGGCCCAGGTTAATTCCGCCACTGCAAGTTAGCATCACATCTACAAACTGTTAGATGACAGTGACTAACTGAAAGCATGCAAAGTAGGCCATTTTAGTTATATTACTATTACTGCCGCAATGATAGAGAATATCGGTTGCTACCTGTCCGCCCAGATGCTGACTGACCTCCTGGGATAGGTCACTCATGGAGCTAGTACGAGACAGCTGTTGAATGCGAACATACAGTCACACAAGTCAAATCAATAGAAGAAAAAAAATAAGGAAACTGGGTAAAAGGTCATGCACACAACAATAGCAGACAAGGTAAATATTGATCACTAGTATTGCATACACATCAAACTAATTACATTAAATTATGTTTCATTAATCAAACAAAATCTAAATTCAATTTTATTTAAACATTGTTTAATAATAAATAAAAACAATATAGTAGTTCTGTAATACATATTGTTATATTATATACATAGTAATATTATGGGTAAATAGTTTTCCTTGTTTTATTTATTTTTTATCATTATATAATAATAATAATAATAACAATAATAATATTAATAGGCTGCCTAATAATAGTATTATTATTATTATTATTATTATTATTATTATTATTATTATTATTATTATATTATTATTATTATTATTATTATATTATTATTATTAGTCTTATATAGCAAAGAATTATAATATGGCTTTTACATTATTATCCCAGCCATTGAAATAAATATAAATACATATTCAGCTCTGGGGGAGAAAGTAGTATTCCATAACAATTTTGGAAGCTAGAATTCAGCCCAATACATCCTACAAGGTACATACACTCTTATGTTGAAATAGACATTTTAAATAACACAACATTCATGTTAAAAAATAAATGATGAAGAAATAACCAAAGTTAAAAATCCAACCAGTAATATGATTCAATGAATTACACCGATGATTTAAATGCCAAAATACTAACTACATACCAACCCTCGATCACACGCATTCTAGCCCCCACCCCTCAACCTCCTCTTCTACACTTTTCCATAGAAACAATCTTCATTCCAACTACTTTTCTATTACTTCTCTGCTTCTTACACTTTCTTCCTATATCTACAAATGTAAACTCCTCCCCACCAACCCTGGAATTCATATCCCTATACATTCCCTTACCTTCGTACCTACCCTTTCCCACCACTCTCCTTTCATCCATACCCCCTCATCTTCCTACACCTCCCATTTGTCCTGCCATCCATTCCCTACCTACAACCTGCCTTAGCTTCCTTTTCCTTTCCCACCTAGAGTGCTTTTTTTTTCTTCCTTTTTCTCTTTCCCTTTCAATCCCCAATATCTATAAGTGCTACCAATTAAACACAGACTTCGCCTTCACAAATTGGTTAAAAAAATAGTGTGACATTTACATAATTATTAACTAATTCAAGAAAGTTACATATGCCATGTTACTACAGACACCTTCAACTTCATTAAACCTCGCTCCACTTGAGTCTACTACTCCCTACATTGTTAATTAAATAATTAATTAAATGATGAAACTAGTAAACCTTTGGTCGGACTTTATCACACTAAGTGAATTATTGACACATTTTATGCATAATAAGCCAGAATACATGGATAAAATACATACACAATTTAACAATAATCAAATGTATGTATAACTTGGTCTCCATCTGCTTTTTTAAATAAATAATATTATATTAAAAAAAAAATCATGATTTATTTGATTGATTAAATGCAGTAATTAACCAGAATCATTTACATTCATATTTATTAGAACTAAACTAAAAATATGTATCTTGGAAACAGTTCACTGCACATTTATGTAATCACGAACGTAATGAAAGTATAAATATATTATTATAAATGGACTGAACAGTGAATACAAATATATACAACTGTTAACACGTTGTCTGCCAGCGACGAGTGTACAGGGTGTTGTTGAGGGGGGGGGGGCAGTATACTTGTCAAAATCGGGGTAACATTCTAGCGTTTATAACTTCTTTGTTATACATTTTACACCCACAGACTCAATGGCTGGTAGTTCGGGAAAGATACACCTAGACGATAACATACAAATGACGTATGTATGTTTGTTGTGTAATGTTGCCGGTAGCACACTCGAGCGGCACAATTGGGGCGCCCTTTGAACATATAACAACCCATGTAAAAAGCGAACGAGATAACTCGCACTTGGTGCAGGGACGTAGCCAGGATTTTGAAAGGGGGGGGGGGAGCCGTTATGCAAGATACGTATGACCCCGGCGGGGTCCAAGGGGACGAACACCCCCTGTATAAGAGACCCCTGTGAAGTAGCGCACTCTGAACGTTTTAGGGACTGTTTTGAGAGGATAAAGTGAAAATTGTATTAGACACATCATAAATAATATTAGTAGGCCCAGCAATAATTATAATAAATCAACAGATCCATAAATTCGAAAGACAGGTGTCCCAGGGAGGGATTTTCACAGACTGAAGAACCACCCACCTCAGCCCCACCATGGTTGGGGCTAAGGTAAGAAAATTTATGATTAGGGCACCTCTAGATGGCCGGAAATTACACTTTCATACTTAAATTTGAATATATTTTCCTTTTTTTTTTTCCTAAAAACGAAAAAAAAAAATCTTATCTAAAATAGTCATAATCACGAAAAAAGGGCATGAAAAACCAGATCACATTCTAAAACAAATTTATTCCCCCTCTCCTCAGCAGTCACAAGACATACTCTGAGTCAGGTGCCGACTTGATGCAGTTTAATATCATACCCAGAAGGGCGCAAATCTGTTTTGTAAGGTTGAGAGGGAGGACATTTTGTGAGTCGGCACCTACCTCAGACTCACCATGGTTGGAGCTGAGGAGCGAAAATGTGAAGAAATAGTACCTCTAGATGGCCAGAAACAAAACTTTTAGTAAAATTCATTATCATCACATCACCGTTACCGGTAGTCCAAATGAAGCGCCAAAAAAAAAAAATTTTTTTTTTTTTATCAAGGATTTTCTGCAACCTAAAAGATCTTATTAATGTGTGTGATATACCATAGAAAACAAAGCTTAAAAACATTGCCTTTGAGTATGTTCTTTACATACTTCAAAACCGTGATTTCACAACCACCTCAGTCCCACCATGGTTGGGGCTGAGGTGAGAAAATTTGAGGAAATAGTACCAGATGGCCGGAAATCACACTTTCACGTAGTAAAATTCATCATCATCACATCACCATTACACAGTCAAAATGGAACGCCAACAAATTTTTCATGTACTTTATCAGAGATCTACTTGATATCCAGGACAACTTGACCTAACTATAATTTAATATATAAGCTTATAACTATCATCAACAAATCACAACTTTATTTTTCGCCTTTAGCACAATTTCCTTCACATTTTAATATTATTAATATTACTATCAATTATCATCATCATCATCATCATCATCACCACTATTATTATTATTATTATTATTATTATTATTATTATTATTATTATTATTATTATTATTATTATTGTTACTACTAACAGTATAGTATTATTAAACAATAGGCCCTACTTTAAAGAAGCTTGCAAAAGGATAAAAACCAAACTGAGCCATACAGTATCACATTTCTGTATCTTAAAAGACTTGGCCTGGGGATTTATGGATTTTTAAAAATCACGCTTAGACATGTGTTATAATTATAGTAGGCCAGGCCTGTGTAAATCGAGTACTGATGCATTTTTACGTATTTTAGAAGTATTCATTTGAGTGGTCCCAGGAAATAATTTGTATTGGCTCAAAAAAAGCTTTAACAATTTTACACTGTGTACAAAGGGGGGGGGGGGAGCCGCGGCTCCCACGGCTTCCCTCCCCCCCCCTCACTGGATACGTCCCTGACTTGGTGTAGTAAAAGAAAAAGCTATCACAGTGCCGTCGACGAGTTTACTCGTCCCCTAATATTTTCCACCCAATTTATTAGACACATCATTTTATTATACTGTATATGGCTAGATAAAATTTCAAAAAAGTATGTTTGAACATGTAAACTTGTTTTGGTACACGGGAAGGAAACTTAAAAAAAGGTCTGGCAGTAAACACGTTAAAGCATTCCATCAGATCCACTAGGACAATACATAGCTTGACCCTTGACATGGTTTTTTACTACAGTCATATGGAAACGTATCATTTACTCTCCAAGGTCGCCTTAACCATTGGAGAAAACTGGATTTTTTTTCACAAAAAGTGCGTTTTTGGTTCAAAATCTATGATTTTCTTGTAATGGCCCAAGCGGATTATGTTGTAAACAATATTAATCTACCAATTCGTGAAGAAAAAATGAAAAAAATCCCTACAGTTTTGTCGCCGATTTATAACAGCTCCTCACGCCGATTTAGATAGGGAATTTCAAGAAATTTGAGGTTTTTGGCTGTTCCGAGCTCGTTTCTTACTCCCTCACTCACATACTATTTGTTTGTTTGGATTTGTGTAGAGAATATAATAAGCTTGAAGCTGATATAAAACTTAGTATGATTGGTTGGGTAGTTTTATCGGAAAATAAGAAAATAAAAAATCCATCAAATCCACGATTGCCTCTCATGGGGTCAAAAAATCTCTCAAGGGTGATAGTCCGATTCACTGGTATGACGTCATACTTCTGTTTACTTGACTTGTGTTTGCAGTGTTCGACTTCTTTCATCGTGTAATTTGGCCTAATTTAGTTATCAGTTTGATTTTTGTGTGCTTTTATTACCTTTATTAAAAAACAAATGGTATTGTAGGGAACAAAGCTGCAGGAGGTGCTATGGATTGTACCGCTTTGCTGCTTAACAAAGTCCACATAGTTACGCCCAACTAAAGGGAATAGTAAATCAATGTAAGTAACATTTAGCATTTTGATGGCTGCCTATGTTATAGTAGGCCTAGACTAGGAGGTCTACATCACTATTATAAACATCATGTGACATCTGATCATGTGACAGAGACAAATTGTATGTTTGAAAAAAAATACATAAAACTAAGACATACAATTAATAATGAAATAGAGAAATGTCTTCCCCTTACCATGTTTCTTTGAGAATTTTTTAACACTAGATGCAGAGGTTGGGGGGTAGTGCACTAGGAGGGGAAGTTTGAGACAGCTGCGAATCACTCGGTGGGGGTGCAACTATACCATCATTATTATCTCCATCGCTATCTTTATTCACTTATTTTTGCTTCTTTTCATCCCATTCAATCTGAAGATAAGACAGTATTACTATCATCAGCACCAATTCCTGGGAGGGTTATTTTATTAGAAGGTTGGCACTTGTCTCTAAATGATCATAATATATATCTTTCGATTTTTCTATATTATCTTCATAATATAACACTGTTAGTTATAGAAATAACACAATCATAATATGTATCTATTGAATCATTTTCCATATTATCTGTTTTATTATTATCATTATTATTACACTTCTAGTTACGGAAATAGCATAAAGAAAAAAAAAACACAGCAAATTACCTAAGTGTAAAATACAAATATATTAATAATTCATTATACTGTTATATAATTCAGGAGATTTAACTACTTACTATTTTGTCACTATCATCTGGCAGATGAACATCGTTTTTACCACCAAACCGACTGAAAAGACCACGGAACCAGCTACTGCCACCACTCTGTTAACATTAAAAATATAAATTGCAATTTAACAAAAACAAACATTGAGATTATAAACATATAAATATACACACATTTGCACATATATTTTATGCATCTTTAATGCTGCTACATAGAACATAAGTACATAAAAATAATAAAACAATAACAAAATAAATTAAAAAACATTAAAAATAATTTAAAAAAATAGAGGCATAAATAGTTTTATTGCAGAATAATGTTTGGCACTGCGGTCTAGGATCATTCCTTAAAAAAGGTTGATTGATTGATGTAATACCAGTATATGTTGGTTAGGCATTACATAAATGACTTTTAATATTATTACTCTCATGAAATACTTAGAAAAATTGATTTATTGAATTTGTAGTCTACCTTTGGTTTCACAGTTGAATTTAGCTCCGAATGTTTGTGCTGAGGTTTCTGCTTTCGCTACAGGGGTAGGTGCTGACCCTTTGTTGCTTGAGCTCTGTGAAAGTGTTCTTGTGGTTGGGGATTCAGGAGGAGTAATTGTGTTACTTGGTGTAGATGGCATTGTGCTTGGTGAGTCAATGTTCTTGGAAGTCGCCTGAAAAAAAGTATTATATATAATCTTTATTTGCAATAGAAAACCATATTTACAGCCTGACTAGTGTATTCTATTGGGATTGGAATGCTGGAATTCTTCTTCAATTTGTTGTCAACTTCAATGCAATAAGAGTTATATAATCCGTTAAATATAGAGTGGAGTTGAATAGCTTGGTTGTTAAGATGCTTGCCTTCCAAACCCTGGGTCCTGGGTTCAAATCCTGTCAGATCCCAGGAACCAACAAATCCACTCTATAAGCCTCATTATGAACCTTGATTTATGCGGAGCATCATGTGCATATGTTTGTCATGTGAAGGGATTGTCACCTATGTAATAGAACATAAGTTGTTACTGGTAATCCTTGGTCATCTGGCTAAAGGAATAAAATAAAATAAAAAAGTATTTACATTGTATGTGGTAGCTCCATAATAATCAAAATTAGATGCATTGCTGTTCGTCCAGTCCGCATCACCCTCTGCTTCTGTGGTGGTGGAACTGTATTCGCTGATGGTACTACCAATTGAGGCACCAGGATCTACATTCATTGAAGCTAGAGTGCTTGTATGCTGGTTGCCTTATGTGTCTGTACCCTCATAGCCTGCATATCCCTGTTTAGATGGCTGGTAGAAATGCCCGCCTCCACTAGGAATAAGTCTGACCGTACTGAGTGGGAGCATTCTGATTCTCTTGGAAGTCTACTGGTTGATAAAAACCTTCGCTATCCATACCTAAAGAAATAAGACACTAGAAAGCATTAGATATGTTATAGTTATTATAGGTCTTTTAATATATGCAGGGATATAGTTATGGTGGGTGTTGCCACATAGCCTTGAAGTCAGTGGCGTCGAGAGCCAGTAAGGGCCCCGGGGCAACACCTCACATGCCCCCCCCCCTTTCACTCGGGACCCCCACTCGGCCGCTCTCCAAATTAAGTCTCCTCCTAAATCTGACAACAAAAGTTTTCATCCCGGCTTGGGCTCGGGTCCTATGGAGATTTTGTTCTTACCCCGAAAATTGTTCATCTTGGTCCGGGCCCCCAGTAGACCCCGGCTCCGGGGCAGCGACCCCACCCCCACCTCTCGACGCCTCCGCTTGAGGTTTTCCACCCAGGCTAAAGCTAATTTCATGGCCCTCCAGCCACCTTTATTAATCATCCTTGCACAGATTTGTGAAAGGTTGAATTGTAAAAGTAATATAATAGCTAATAAATGAGACTCGCACACACCAATGCTGTTAATAACTCTCTGTCCTTTTATTTTCTCTCCTCCCATGTGCTCTCTCTACATCCCATAATAATGAATCCGTTTCCAGGAACTTTCTGCCCCAATTAACAAATTACACAGCACTACATACCCCCCCCCCTTTTCCGGATTTAAACTACCGTATACCTTACCCAAACAAACTAAACAACTATAAACTACATGAACAATAGCATATTTCAAAACCTGTGAGGGACCAACTCGCTACACTACTACCTTGCCATACAAAGTTAAATTTGCTCTATTAGACGCTGTGGTCGGAACCTTACCCTTCCCGATCTACGAGGTTGCAAGGAAACCACACCAGGTACTTCATAGTCATGATCTATAATGTCATCATCATCAATAACGTTAGGGGTGGCGATTTTGCTTCTGGCAGGCAAGTTAATTTTTTTTTAAATGAGAGTAGTCCGGTTGATTGTGTTTCCATTGGGAAACTTAGCAGTTAACATGTCATGATTCTTCCTGACTATTACCAACGGGGTTTTATTAAAAGTTGTAGTGAACTTGTTAACTCTGTTCTGCTTAGCTAAAACTATGTCCCCCGCTTCTATCTTATTCTCCTTAATTTTCCTCTTTTTCTCTGCATTCAACTTAGTGTTAATTTTGTTCTTTTGATCATTCTTTCTTAACTGGTCATCATTCCTCCACCCTTTAGAGGGGATTTTAACATTTATGTCCCTGCCAAGCAGTATAGTTGATGGAGCGTAGCCAGTTGTGGAATGAGGGGTTGCCCTGTAATTTCGAAGATATGCCAACATGTCCTGTTTCCAATGAGTGGAGGTAAGCAGGGCTTTCCGGAAAGTACGCATGAACCTCTCTACCTTCCCGTTAGCCTCGGGCCAGAGTGGGGTAACTTTTCTGTGTTTAAAACCAAGATGTTTTGCAAATTTAGCAAAAGTTTCACCGTTAAAGGGTGGACCATTGGTATTTTATCAAGCATGTGTGCTGGGTCCCTCAAAGCTGCCCGACGGAGTTTCGGAGAACAATGCTGAATAATTTGCAACTTAATCTCATTATCACAGTCCGCAAATGAACACGGCTTTGCTGCTCGGCGTAGCCTGGTAACGAACGCATCAATTGACTCATTTCGTCCCTGTTGCAGTTGGTGAAATGTGTAGATTGCAAAAGATACTTTTTTCTTGGGCTCGAAATAGGTTTTGAGCGCATCTTTTGCAGCATCGTAAGTGTCTCCAGAGTTAGCCAGAGTTTGAAAAATGTCGTAGAGAGCTTCACCCCCGTAATGGAGTAGAAGCGCTCGCTGTCGCGTCGTGCAGCATCAGTCTGGGCATTCAGACTGTGTTCTCGGCGCATGTTCTCGGCACATAATGTTCTCGGCACACATCATTTTTTGTAGTCGGAACGTGTGTTAATGAAATTTATGTCGAGCACAGAATGTTCTAGCTAGAACCCAGATGAACCACGTTCTCGGAACAAAATGTTTTCGAACTACGACTTTGGAATGAAGTCTGAACGTGTGCCGAGCATAAAATGTTATAACTGGGCGGGCGGGCTTCAGTGACGTGACCTGACCTGCTTTGACATTCTTCCGAGGCGCAATGTACACATGTTAGGGCAAATATAAAAATTTATTAGATTATTGTTGCACTCATATTTACTATTTGGAGTAATGGTGGATGAGCTTTTAGTCAAGATTTAACAAGATAAAATAACAACACATGTAACTGCTTCAACTGTTTATTATAAAGTGTCAAGAAAAACGGAAATGACATAAGCTGACCTATTTACAAACTCTAGGTGGCGGTAATGTATGACACAGTGGAACATGCGATATTATTAACTATAGAGGTCGCTACGTGATGGTGAAGTTTATAATCTAACACTCCCTCTTAAACTTTACATACATTACAGTGGAAATACTTTTGAACAATTTTCACACTTCATCACTAAAATAGATTACATAGCAAAACTGTTTTATGTTTAGAACAAATACTGTAAAGAAATAAAAAATCTTTCTTAATACAAAACAAAGGCAAAAATAAAATAAATAAATAAATATGACATTGACTCTCAACACAGTAAGAGTTTGTCAATTCTGTTTCTACTCAAAGGTTTAGTGAATACATCAGCTGTATTAATTTCTGTTGGAATATATTCCACAACGATATTTCCTATTTTAACTTCTGATCTTACGAACTTTGTCAATATGCTTTGAACGTTGGTTACTCACTTTTTTTTTTGGCAAGACAAATGGCACTCTGGTTATCAACATGGACTTTTACAGACTTTGTTTGAACACACATCATATCAGAAAACAGTTGTTTGAGAAATAAGGCCTCCTGTGTGGCTAGACACAAAGCGATATATTCTGCTTCACATGTTGATAGTGCCACAACTGGTTGCTTTTTACTCTTCCATGAGATAAGTGAAGACTGATGATTCAGCTTGAATCCGTAACCACTAATGCTACGCCTGTCTTGAGCCATTCCCCAGTCAGAATCACTATATCCGACGAGGTCCAAATTGTCAGTTTTGACAAACTTTAATGCCCTGTACTGAGTACCTTCTGTCTCTTATACACATCTAGATGTGTATAAGAGACAGCCATAAGATAGATTAAACTACCTATAATTTCTCTATAGAGAGACACATTGTCAAAAATTTCGTCATTTTCAACAGGCTTATTCATACCAATTTCACAAGGTGTTGACTTGGCTTTACAGTTAGACATGTTAAACTTCTTCAGTATCTTTTCAATGTATTTACTTTGACACATTTCAATACTACCTTCGGCACACTTGAATTCAATTGCTAGAAACCATGTTAAGACACCCATATCTTTCATTTTGAACTTATTGTGCAATAGCTGTTTTACATCATTCAACAATTGATCATTACTTGCTGCGATAATGATATCGTCAACCCAGATAACTAAGATACACTTTTCATTATCATTTGATTTGACATACACACATGGGTCCGACTTTGACTGTGTAAAACTGTTTTGAGATAAGTAACTATGAATTACAGAATTCCAGTTCCTACCGCTTTGCTTAAGTCCATATAATGACTTTTGCAGTTTACAAACAAACTTTTCACCTCTATAATTACACTTTTTAAAACCTTCTGGCTGTTCTAGGTAAAGTTCACAATCAATGGGGGCGTTTAGATATGCGGTTTTCACATCCATCTGATGGACAATTAGATTTTCTTGCGCAGCAACCTGAGCAAGCATTCGAATGGAGGTAACATTTGCAGTGGGGGAAAAAGTCTCTTTGTAATCCACATTTTGCACTTGTGAATAGCCCTTTGCTACATATCTAGCTTTGTACTTTTCCTCCCCGTTTGAGGCTAGTTTAATGGCATAAACCCACCTACCACCTACTAAGGCCCTATCAGCAGGTTTATCTGTCAACACAAATGTATCATTCTCCAACAAAGAATCGTACTCATCTTTCATAGCCTTTTCCCATTCTTTACTTTCTGGGGATGACATAGCATCACTATAATTTGTTGGCACATATGACAAGCTATAGCAATAATCAATGGTGTAGTTTACACTGTCATTAACACTAGAGTTCAGTTCTGTATTATCCTGACCAGTATAGTCAGTTGTATAGTCTTCGAAATGCTTTGGTCTGTGACGCTCCCTCTGTGGACGTGCTTGGCCACCTGCAACTCCAGCATCTGGTGCTGGTGGCGCTGGGTGATCCTCACGGTCTTCTGTATCTGGAGTGGGCTGTGTGTCAACTTCAGGAATTTTGCATGGGACTAAGTCAGACTCAACATCATTCACAAATTTCACACATCTGACCCTACGTACAGTTTTAGACTCTGGTGAGTACACTAAATATGCAGGAGAGTTCCTATCATAACCTACGAAGTAGCCTGGATCACATCTTGCATCTAGCTTAGACTTATGACCCTCAATGTAAACATAACAACTTGCACCAAATTTATGTAGGTTACTCAAGTTTGGTTTTTCACCTGTAAGAGCCTCAACTGGAGTTTTACCAAGTCTAGGATTATAGCACCTATTCCTAACATAAGCGGCAGCCATTATAGCATAAGTCCACAGACTTTTAGGTAATTTGCTTTCTAACAACATACACCTAGCCATTTCAAGCAATGAGCGCCATGCCCTTTCTGCCGTACCATTCTGATGTGGAGAGTGGGGCGCTGAGAACTCATGTTTTATTTTGTTTTTACTCATTAATGACTTATACTCATTGCTACAATATTCACCAGCATTGTCTGATCTTAGTGATTTAATGTTACCATAGGGAGAGGAATCCGCTAAGAATTTCTCACTTGCTAACAAGGCATCACTCTTTTCTTTTAAGAAATACACAAACGTTGCACCACTGTAATCGTCAACAAAAGATATACAATAACAGAAACCTTCTTTAGCGACGGGCGTGACTGGCCCGGCTAAGTCACTGTGTACAAGTTGCAATGGTTTACTGGCCTTTTTATCCGGCTCCCTGTTACGATATTTTGTCATTTTACCTTCTACACAGGTGTTACACTCAGAAGCATCTTTGTCAGTAATTTTCATACCATCAACAACCTTTTCCAGCTTCAATATGTGATTGACATTGCAATGACCAAGTATCTTGTGCCAATCGTCAACAGAGTATGCACCAGTTTTAGAATTGATAGTGTTATTTAGGAAGAATAAGTTCCCCTGTTTAGAGATAGGAAATTTGGTCCCATCTGGTGCATGCATCTCTGATGAGTCCGGCCCAAAATTTACAGAAGCACCTATCTTGTTGGCTGACCCTACTGAAAATATGTTCTGTTCGTAAGACGGAATATACAATGCATTTTCTAGTATTATATCATGAGATTTACCACCAGAATCATGTATAGTTGTACTAGCAACACCTTTACCTCTAACTATACCGCTTGTCCGGCTACCATCGGCAAGCTCAATGAGGTGATTTTCTAGTTTGACACTCTCGTCAAGATCTATAAACTTTGACTTATCTTTGAAAATGTGTGACGTAGCACCTGTATCGACTAATAATGCATTTTCACTTATTTGAACACTGTTAGCAGAGTCTAGATCAACACCAACTTTAAAAACAAAAGAATGTTTCTGTTTATTTTCACCACTAGATGTCGCTGCTGTTTTAGCGCTGTCCTGTCGAATCTTCTTACTGCGGCACTCACTCGTGTTGTGCGATTTCTTCTTACAGTTTTCGCACTAACGACTGCGACCCTGCCCTTTGGGTTTCTGCGATTTGCTGCTTTTACACTCTGGAGATTTGTGGCCAGGTTTGCCACAAGCATAGCAGACGATCGATGAACCTTTGTTGGCCATGTGCATTACACTGTCCTCACTGGGGTGAGTGAGGGAGGATTTTGAAGCCTTTTCAGTCTCCTCGTGGCTCCTGAGGGCTTTCTTAAAGTCACTGAAGGTCATCGCTGATTCACGTTGCACGATAATTGTAGAGAACGTTTTGTACTCTGATGGGAGACCCTTCAGCACCATAGCTATTAGGAGAGTCACTAACAGTCTCTTTGGCCTGAGGGATTGGGCGGCTGTCTCTGCACGGAGAACATAGTCAGTTACAGTTTCACTAGGGGGCATCTTTAGAGATGTAAGTTCAGTATATAATGCCAAGATGCGTGGCTTACCGGTACCCAGGTAATGTCCTTTTAGTATCTGGAGTGCTTTCCTACCATTATCTGGAGCCTCATTTAGTACTAAGGATAAACTTTGGTCATCTAAACACTGGATCAATTCAGCAAATGCCACTGCATTCTTCGCCGAGTCATCTTCCTCTGGCTCTACGCCTCCTGGAGGAAGGATGGTAGCATGCAACTTTTGTATACGCATGTACCCTAAAAACTTTACTTCCCATAGCTTATATCTGCTTTCTTCACCATCAAACAGTATACGCTGCCTGGGCCCATAACCTGTTGCACTCATATTTACTATTTGGAGTAATGGTGGATGAGCTTTTAGTCAAGATTTAACAAGATAAAATAACAACACATGTAACTGCTTCAACTGTTTATTATAAAGTGTCAAGAAAAACGGAAATGACATAAGCTGACCTATTTACAAACTCTAGGTGGCGGTAATGTATGACACAGTGGAACATGCGATATTATTAACTATAGAGGTCGCTACGTGATGGTAAAGTTTATAATCTAACAATTATCAATTCCGCAAGCGTAAAAAATTCGGGAAATATTGATGCGGGAATAAATTTTTTTCCGCATCAATTATTTCAACAGCATAACAATATTTTGTTATTTTAAATACATTTTCCTTAAAAAACCAATAAATTAAACCTGTTTTTATACAATATTTACTATTGTTTCGTTTGAATAATGAATGACAGGAGTCAGCATAAATTAATCGGTTTGCTTTATTTTCAAACAAGCACCAGCAGTCAGGTTCGAAAACCTGTAATAAACAAAACATTCAAAGAAATGCAAAAAATAAGCTAAACATGCATATTCAAGACACTAAACACCGACGTTGGCGGCGTCCTCTAACTCCAGCTGCATGTTATACTCTCGCGATTTCAATCAATGTATTTTACTATAGCATAACAAAATCAATAAATGACAATTAACTCTTCTGTAGTTATTATCTGATTAATCGGTACCACATACTGTATGGTGTCACTAGAAAAGCCATCAATCACATATGTGAGCTGGAAACTTAAATCGTAAACATGAGCTAGTATTTAGGCCTACATCTACACACGTGATAACTATTAACTCCGGCCAAAAGATAGTTAGGCCTAGACTAATCCCGTAGGGTGAAACTAGCGCGGCAATAAACCTACGCTAGCTCACCTTACAACAGTACGGTATTAACATGAATAACGGGAAAGAATATGTTAAACGTTCTATCTATATGAATCTACTATGTGTTAATTAATTACACACGTCTAGCATCTCTTAAGTTATATCATTATAAACGAAATCTCAATTCAACGCTAATACCCGATTCACACGTACAACAATCTTACCAAATGTAACAAATGTAACCAAAAGTAACATTTTACGGCACGTGTGAAAGTACCTCCGTGTAATATCCTTGTAAAATCTCGGAACGTCTCGGTAATCTTTACCAGCCTCGCTGAGGCTGGTAAAGCTTCCGAGATGTAGCATGGATGGATCTGCGCATGCGCAGGGATTTCAACACAACAAAAATCTACTGTGTTTCACAGGGTTCTTTGAATTTTCTTCCTTCTGCAGACGATTCTGATCCACTAGAAATAGATAGGCCTAGTTTTTTCTCAATGATGAATGAATTACCCTTGTTATTGATGTTAATTAGTAATGGTAGAAGAAGATATACATAAAATCGTCGGGATGGTGTTAGTATTATTACTAGTATTATCAAGAGTCAACAGATACGTTGAAAGCTATGCCTAGTTTAGTAGTAGTAGTACAGCAGTTGTTAATGTTTACTGTGATGGTGGGTTCAACAGTCCATCTGTGACAGGGGTTCTCAATTAGGCCTAGGCTAGACCTATATCGCAGTAGGGGGAAAAATGATTCATTGAATGGCGCTAATGCACTTTCGCACCTAACTTTTAATTCTTAATATTTTTAACTGAATTTTCTTCTCACAGTCACAACACATAATTATAAAACATTGTTACATTATTCAACCACTCATAAAGTACATTTTTTCAACAAAAAGATACCTTTATAAATATAGGTTGATACAGGGTTCCCGCGCTTGCTAGCACGACGACGAGCTGTACTTCTTTGCAATCAAGTAAGAAATTGCCAGAATGTCCGAGTCAATTCTTAAATTTTGAAACCATTAAAGGCCAGTCTTATAATTTTAATTGGAATTTTTCCATGAAACATCCAACAACAAAATGTGGCATCATGCAGTACCATCTTTTTGAACTTTCTTGTCGTAATCGAGGTTAATCGAACCGACGTTTGTCATTGGCTTTAATAGTTGTTTTTTTTTATTTAGAGCTAGGCCGCTAGGCCCTATTTTTCGATCTGTGTACGCATTTGGATCATTACAAATTTTTGTAATTAGTAATTATTGTACGTGTGAATTTCATGTGAACACACAAACAGCACCATACAATATAAACAATGACAATACGGCAAATAGATAAGTTTTCATAAACGTTTAATAAAAAAACTTCACGCTGTAAACTCAAGACATTCTGGCAATTTCTTACTGATTACAAAATGGCAGCCGCTCACCATGCTAGCGAACACAGATTCGCTGTACTTATTTGTGGGCTTATTTGTTGAAAAGGGTACTTTGTGAGTGGTTAAATCATGTGAACATGTTTGTTAATTATAGGTTGTGACTGTGAGAACATTGAGGTATAAACTTCAAGAATTAAAAGTTCTGGCAATTTCTTAATGATCGCAAAATGGCAGCCGCTCGTCGTGCTAGCGAACGCAGATTCGCTGTACTTATTTGTGGGCTTATTTGTTGAAAAAGGTACTTTGTGAGTAGTTAAATCAGGTGAAAATGTTTGTTAATTATATGTTGTGACTGTGAGAAGAACGTTGAGGTAAAAAATTAAGAATTAAAAGTTAGGTGCAAAAGTGCATTAGCGCCTCATTGAGTAAACACTGAATAAATTTTACACGACCTCGGCATTACCTTACAGACGCGTGTGAATACTTTTTATCTCGGTAGGAATAACTCGGGAGGGATCGCTCGGTTACAATTTGTTACTTTTTGTTAAATTTAACTTCACGTGTGAATCGGGTATAAGGTGACTCGGTAAACTCACTACTACGGCTATGGAATCCACTATAGAAACACCCCCAGATAATAAATCAAATTTCGCACTCTGCGAAACACTCCACCCACCTACTAAGCAAAATATCAGAACCTTATGACAATTTTCCAGTCACTGAATTTAGGATTTAATTACTAGTAATCATAACAAATTAAAAGCCTAAACGATCATAAAATAACAATCAGATCCGCTAGTAACTCAAGCTCCATACATTACTATATGTCTACACCAAGCTATTGTTCTTCAACTGGTATCAGCAAAATCAGTCTCTGCACTGCTCGCTTCACGTGGCTCGACCTTCGTAGTCTTCAACTCGACACTCCTCACCAATCCTCTTGAGTCTGGAAAAACTTCAGAAACTCTACCAAGTCGCCACTGTCCTCTCTTCACGTTCTCCTCCTTAATAACCACAACATCTCCCTTCTTCAAATTACGATGTTCCATATGCCATCTTTTTCTCACGATAAGTGTAGGAAAGTAATCCTGTGTCCACTTCTGCCAGAATTGGTCAGTCAATCTCTGAACAAATCTCAATCTTTGTGCATTATTACCCAGCTTACACCAGGGTCCACTTGGAGGTCTCACAGATGAACGTCCGAGAAGAAGATTATTTGGACATAAGTAATTACTTTCTGGGCTCGTAGGATGCTTGCCAATAGGTCGCTCATTCATCAAGTTTGCAATTTCATAAAGCACTGTCTGCAACTCCTCGTACGACAACACCTGCTCTCCTATGACATGGAATAACGACTTCTTAACTCCTCGAATTAAACTCTTGGTGACACCATTCTGCCATGGTGCGTCTGGTGTGGAAAATGTCCACTCAACTCCATGACGAACTCTGAACCCTTTGATACTCTCCTTCGCTGCGACTAGTTGACTGCCACAATCACTGAATATTTCATTCGGGTATCCTCTTATGGATACAAACCGTCTAACACCTTCAAAAAGGAATCCTCACTATAATCCGTCATCAAGTCTAAATGAACTGATCTTGTAACAAGGCAATTGAATATTACTCCGTAGGCCTTGCCTCTCACTCGCTTTTGGACTTCTCCCTTGACTTTCAGTGGTCCAAACAAATCACATCCTACCGAACTCCAAGGTGGCGAAGGTTTCAGCCTCTGCAAGGGCAAGGGTGCCATTTGCTGCCTTATTTCTTCACCTTCAAACTTCCTACATCGGATGCAGCTATGTCTTATACTGGTTACTAACCGCCTAAGTCGCACCACCCAATAATGTGATCTGATCTTAGTCATCGTTGTTTCAACACCATTATGGCCGTCATCGTGTGTCATTACAGCGTACAACTTAGTAAACTCGTGATCATGTGGCAGCAGAGGAACCATTTCGTGGTTGTTACTGAAATGCACATGTTCCTTTGCCCGATCAACGACAATAACATCATCTTCTCGAAGTCGTGGACCTAAGCTACCATACCTTTTGAGGAACTTAGGATACTCTTTGTGCATTAGGTCTCGCATAGGTTTCTGAGCTTCCAATCCAATATAGCTCCGCTCCTTTTAGTTTCTCTGCTGTTACCATCAGCGATGCTGACTTGAAACTCTTACATTTCAGAACCTCCAGGACAATAGCCGTCACTCTTAGTAACTTTGAGTAGCTGCTAAACTTTGAATCTGGATAGAATCATTAGATGTCTGTTTTACTTCCACTGTCATCACAACACCAATTCTCTCTGGGATTTCTTGAGTGCACCTTTGGGAAATTGGCCATTCACTGACTGGCCTACTCAGGAACTCTGGACCCATTTGCCATCTGCTCCGTTCGGACAGCGCACTTGGAAAACCTCCTCTAGATATCAAATCCGCCATATTAGACTCCCCCGGTATCCACCACCAGTCTTGTGGATCGGAGAGCTGTTGAATCTCCCCGACCCGGGTGGTTACAAAAGTCTTGAAACCATAACTCTCCTTCTGTACCATGGCTCTTACTATTTGGCTGTCCACAACGTAGAAAACTCTCTCAAACTCCATACTGGTCTCATCTTTGATTGTCTTAGCTAAACGAACACTTAACACTGCTGCGCTAAGTTCTAACCTTACTATGGTTGTTATTTGTATAGGTGCCACCCTACTCTTGCTTGCCATGAGCCTCACGGAGTAGGTACCATCTTCGCATTCATACTGTACATAGGCCACGGTTCCCATTGCTCTTTCCAATGCGTCTGAAAACAATATCAGGAGTGGTTTTACCCTTTCCTTTACGTTGCTCGGTTTAATGCACCTCTATATTTGGACTTGACTGCACGTTCTAATGTCGTCGAACAACGCCAACCACTCTTTAGCATCTGCTTCTGCTATCCGTGCATCCCAAGCTAGCTTTTCTCCCCATAATTTCCGCAACAATATCTTCGCTCTTACCGTAACTGGTGACAACAGCCCGAGGGGGGTCAAACACGGCATTCATTCGGCTGAAACACCTTCTCTTTGTCAATCCATCCGTTAAGTCATCTACCACATTGCCGCACGCCACGCTCAATTTGTCTGCTATTGGCTCCCACTTCAAGCCCAGTACCTTCAATGCTTCAAACTCGTTCGAAGAATTGCTGGAAATGATCCACCTTTTAATCTTGAAATTCCCCGACTCCAATACATTATCCATTTGCTCTGTCTTCTTTAGCGCCTTTTCCTCACTCTCACAGGAGTCCAGAACGTCGTCCATGTAAACGTTCTCCATAAGAACGTTTCACTCATTTTCGCCATCTTATGCAATGCACTGATTGCGATCGTTTATCACCAAAATTTACTGCGGTCACGCAATATGTACTAGGTGTTCTCCCAACCTCCATATTTTTCCACAAAAACCTGTGACAATGCTGGTCCAACATAGTTATCCCTACACTGTGATACATTTTTCGTATATCACCTACTATTGCCGTTCTCTCCCGCCGGAATCTCAATAAGACACCTAACAAACGGTTGTTGAGATCTGGTCCCTTTGCCCAGTAGTTGTTTAGTAGTAGTTCGCACTGCTATCAAAAACTATCCTCAGTGGTGTACTCTCACTATCCGGCTTAGGAACTGCGTGATGGGCTATATAATGAACCGGTCCACGGTACTCATGCAACTCTGTGTCAGACACCTCTTAGGCTACCTCTCTCTCAATCATGTCCTGTATCTGTTCATTGTACAGCTTCGCCTTTTCTGGATCTTTACTCAAACGTTTCTCTAACGAGTGAAGTTTTTAACGCTCCTCCTGCAACGTGAACTCCTTTGCACCTAATGGGCATTTACCACATTTACATCCACCACACTTAGGGTTACACCGAACTCCAATACTCTCGATAGTCAAGAACTGATTATAAAGGGTATCAACTTGCGTCAAATGTATAGCTGCTAACGATTCACTCTCGCAAACTGGATGCCATCCTCCTACGCATTTACCAAATGGACTGGTACTCAACATTAGATTACCCACCACCTTTATCTTCTGAGGTTGAAGATTGGCGTAGTCTAAGCCGATCAACAGCTCTACTCTGCCCACAGGTCTATTAACTGTCCTCCAATCCACCTTCAGTAAACCGGCTAGTCGCTTGACATCCTGAACCCTTAAGTCACTGGTAACGCTCTCCATACCATATGCTTTAACCTTCACAATATCTCCACTTCTGTCTTTCAATAGTATTTCGTACAACTTTGTTTCTACTACGTTTTCTTCTCCGCCTACCTTGGTTAGTTTTATCTCTACATGATCTCCTTTAGCACCAACTCTTCTTGCAGCCTCATGTGTTATTATTGATGCTGTTGCTCCACTATCAAATATTGTGTTAAGCGTCGTCCCATTTCTAGCTTTAACAGCAATCGCCATCAGCATACAACCTCCAGGCTTAAAAACCGCACCATTCCGTTTCACCTCCCTTGGCTTCTCGGGATGTTGAAAGTGAATAGATGGATGGTGTTTTCTCTGGCAACCATCTTTCCCACAGTATCCTTTCTTACATTTAAATACACCATGACCTGGTTTCAAACATCGGAAACATGCTCTCTTTTCCTTAACTCGTTGTATTCTGTCACTCACAGCTTTCGCCAGGTATGCTCTGCAGTCTTCTGTCGTGTGCTGGGCACTATCGTGGATCAGACACGTATTGTTAGCTAGTAGTGGTTCACGAACATCAGCCGTATGCACTGATGCAGTTGGTTTGGTACGCTGGCTTGTGATATGGCAGCTACGCAGACTCTCTATAGAGTATTCTACACTCTTCCTTTCCTCTTCCAAGAAACTCAATAAACCGGACATCTTCTCAGTTTCTCCGATTTTATTTTTCTCATCATGTATGTTTCGTACCCATCTAACACATCGTCCGGTAATTTCTTCTCTATTTCTCCAACCACTCGAGAATTGGCCATTTCCTTCTCCAAGCCAGCTCTCTCCAAATTTCGGTAGCTAACCTCCACTAGATCGATGAATTCCACCAACTTTCTATCTTCACCCTCCTTTACCGCTCTATGCTTTACCAAATCACCTACTACTACATCCACCAGCTTTGATCTATTACCATATCTGTCGTTTAACCTCTTCGACATCTTTTCAATCTTGTCCTCCGCCGGCATAACAACTTTCATTGGCTCACTACCTAAACAACTTCTCAATGTATACGATAACTGGTCACTATGTGTCGTTGGTTTCACAAACCTCTGAAAGTCCTCTTTAAATCTTAAATATAGCTTTACATCCCCATTAAATTTAGGGAGCTCCATTTTCTTCAACTGCATACGAGGTTCTGTAGTCACCACTTTCGCCTTAGACTCTTTGGTTCCCACCTCATGAAATATATCCTTCGCATCTCCTTATACATGTCTCTAAACTCATCTAACCATTTATCTTCCTGATCCTCATCCTCTTCCTCTACTTTGTTGATCACCGCATCGTGAGCTGTAGGTTAGGCCAGCACTCCTTAAACTCCGCATCTAGTTCCTCAATATAGCCAGTAGAGATTTTTTATGCCAATGCCGATCTTAATGAGTCAGCCTGACTCACAAAGTTTCTCTTGCATGCTCTCCGTGCTCTCTTTGCATCCTCCATGATATGTTTTATCTCTAGGTTTAGCAGCAAAATTGCTTACCTCCCTTTAGGTTGTTACTCTCTTCAGCTGGTTGAGCTGACGTTTTCGAATGTTTCGTTTGAATAATGAATGACAGAAGTCAGCATAAATTAATCGGTTTGCTTTATTTTCAAACAAGCACCAGCAGTCAGGTTCGAAAACCTGTAATAAACAAAACATTCAAAGAAATGCAAAAAATAAGCTAAACATGCATATTCAAGACACTAAACCCCGACGTTGGCGGCGTCCTCTAACTCCAGCTACATGTTACAGTATACTCTCGCGATCTCAATCAATGTATTTTACTATAGCATAACAAAATCAATAAATGAAAATTAACTCTTCTGTAATTATTATCTGATTAATCGGTACCACATACTGTAAGGTTTCACTAGAAAAGCCATCAATCACATATGTGAGCTGGAAACTTAAATCGTAAACATGAGCTAGTATTTAGGCCTACACCTACGCTTATTAAGCTTCCGCATCCTGCAACAACCACACTACCAACGGAACTGTGTTGGCGCGCCATACTTTCTATTGTTCAAAATCTGGCGGCCGAAATGATTTGACCTGACCTTAACTTATATCATTATAAACGAAATCTCAATTCAACGCTAAGTTGACTCGGTAAACTCACTACTACGGCTATGGAAACTCCTATAGAAACACCAAATATAAACAGTCCCCTTCCTCATCGATAAAAACAAAGGCGAAATAGGCTTATTGTTCCAATTTAAAAATAAACGCCCTTCATCATTTTTTAGATCATATAGAGTAATAATCTAATAATATTTTCTATGTGCTTTTATAATACAGCAGTACTACTGTTCTCTTGATTAATTTATGCTGTAGGCCCAGGGCCGTCACCAGCTTTTTTCAAGGGGGGGGGGTGCTTTTGGAAAAAAAAATTAACAACTCCAATGTCAGGCAGCGGTGCTGGTGTTGCAGATATGAGCTGTTCAAAACTAATGTACTGCCTACTGGTTACTATAGACAAGGTTGACCAAAGCCATTTTCCTAGGATGCAGTTCAGCAAACCTATTTATAATCTTGTCTGTCATGGGGATCGGATAGTTATAATTAATATGAAATAATGTCAGCGAAGACAACCGCTCCATGCCCATTGTTGCCCGGGTGTAGTGATGGAGTCGACGAAGGACACTGGCTGACCGCTCGCACTCTGCACTCGTCACCGGTAATGTACATGCTAGTTTAAGCAAGACATACATGTTTGGAAACCTCAACTTGGCACACACTCTAATGGCAAGAGAAGCAGGGGCGGATTTAGGAGGGGGGGCGGCCCGGCCCTGGCCCCCCCCCCTTTTTGGGAGGTAAAAAAAAGGGGAAAAAAGAAAAAAAGAAAGAAAAAGAAAAAAATTATAGCCCACAACGCCTCAAATGTTATTTTCGGGCGTCTAGAACACAAAAATTTCCCCCTAGGACATTGTTGTCTCGATCGGCCCAAATTTCGGCCCCCTTTCGGCCCCCCCCCCTTTTGGACATCTCTGGATCCGCCCCTGAGAAGGGGAATCAGGTGGGTTTGGGTGATGCTGGAATCCGGCTCTCCAGCGTTCATACTCTTCCTGCACCAATCCTGGTGATGGCAGATCATCTGTATACATCTCTACCAGGCTGTCAATGTCGCACTTACGCTTCACTGCAACTTGTGGAACTAAACATAGTAGTTTACTTGCCCTCTTGGATAGATCTAAAAATAAAAGCGAACAAATATTGTACTTATACGTATTTTGATAACATTTCCAGGACCAAAATCCAGTTGAAACTAATTAAAGCAAAATCAAATGGAACCAGTTGGCCAACTGGTAAGGTTTCAATAGGGAAATTGGAACAGCTTGTTCCAATTGAAACCAGTTGCCAATTGGTTACGATTAAAACCAATTGGGCAACTGGAACCAACTGATTTCAAGTTGATTTTGGTCCTAGGTTATTTGCTATTTAGTTTGGATGTTTGGATATCACTAATTTCAAAACAGTTGTTAACATATATTTTGTTCAGTTGAATATGCTAGTCACCCCTATGTAACCAAGAATTCACAAAACCAGGCAAATCCCGATAGCTGATTTGTTGTATGCAAGCGCCTAGCTCTAGCTAGGCAAGGTCTAGTTTAGCCTAGGGCCAGGGTAGGGCATAGCTCTAGGGCATAGCTCTGGACGATATTCGGACCCCGGCCGACGCGACGCGCGATTGACGAATGAATTCGCTGTGCCCAGCAGCCTACTGAAGCTCACTCACAATCACACTTCTTAGTTAGCTCCAGGTTAGCTCGCTGAACTCCAGACTTTTTGCAGTCAAGTGAGTCACTAGGCCAGACACTAGGCCCTAGGCCTAATTTACACTCAGGCCCTACAACATTTTAAATTTTATTATACTTAAGTTAAATCCTAAAATGGCTGATATTTTATTAATTGAGGGAAAAATACGACAAAACTTACCAGGACAAGTAAACAAGATGCCTCGCCTCGCACGTTGGGATTGAAAAATGTAGGCCTAGGCGCGCGTGGGCCGGCTGCACGTAGCGCGTCTTATTTGTGATAAAAGGTCACAATGAGAGTACGATCGAAGCACTTTTCGTTATTTATTCTTTTTTTAGCTTCGGTGTGAACTGAGTAGATCTGGTAGACTGCTATTATGAATGAAGAGTTGTAAATTAATTTCTCTACACGTAAAATTCTTGTCTATATCAATCTCCAAAGTTTTAACACCTGCAATGATACCCAGAATGCTTTGCAGGCTTGTGACGTAAGAATCGGAAAACATTGGAGAATCCCGAGAGTTCACCAACTAACGATCTATTTATAGGTGGTCTTTTTCATGATGCGCATGTTTACAATGTACCTGTAGCAGTACTACCATCTGTAAATTTGTATATAGGATCTGTGTGTAAATAATACCTTGCATTTTTTAGCTAATATCCCAACTTCATGGGTTATACACCAAGCTTAGGAAGGTCATTTACCTTAAGGTCATTTGCCTTAATTCAAGTGACCACACATCATTTGGGAATGTTGATGAGGTACTAGACAAGGACAGGCAATTACTAATCCTTATTGGTCAGGTGGTATGAAAAGTGATGCTATATCACATACATTTGTACTTTTACAGACACTCCTCAGTTTGTCCAACCTGAGTACACATTACTTTCGCTTTCTATCAATTTGTATATATCATCAACTTGTTTCTCAAGTGTTTTTGTAAAATTACGCTTTTCACTTGGAATAAATTGTACAGTTGTACATATAAATTAGTGTGGTGTATTTTTATCATCTCATCGTACACTTACACTAAATACCATTATTAGATAGACACAAATCTCGATGATTTCGACTCGACGGCGGGATTTTCAGAACGCCGCTATTGTGATTCAAATTAGGAGTGGAAGAACTCTTCTCAAAGAATGGTTCCCCACCCCCTCCCCACCCCCTACCAATTTCTTTTTCTTTTTTTCTTCTTTTTATATTTTTTTAAAATTTAAAATTTTATTTATTTTTTATTTTATTTTTTTGGGTGTGGAGGGGGTGCGTTCGCACACTCCGCACCCCCCTGGCGACGCCACGGAGGCCTAAATGTTTTGGAACAAAACAAAATGCTGAAAACATGTTCTAACAGAGTAAGCACATGGAGTGCAGTCATCGAAATGAATTGCGTAGTTGAAGTTTGGGAAGAAGGGAGATAGAAGCACAAAATACCAAAGGATCTGGGAATAAGCAACTTTTCCAAAAGGTATCCGACAATCTTGTCTCTTATACACATCTGGAGATCGTATAAGAGACAAATTTAATAAAATGGAAATAAAGTTAGGCCTACAGTGACTCTGAGCTCCTCTCAAAATGTTACACATGCATAAATGCCAAGAACATGGTTTTATAATCTGAATGATCGTATTTCAGGAACTTTTTCTTTCGGTGTGGTATATGAACATGTGCCGAGAACATAATGTTACGAAAACATTTTATGCCGAGTACATAATCTGAACGCCGTGGCTAGAGATACGGTACCGTATCGGAACATCCGATTGCTAATGGTACGGTAAATGATATTGCGTCATGATTAGCCAATAGAAATGACCGACGCGATTTTAGCTTTTTTGCAAAGTCGACGTCGCGATCATGAGAAACGTGTGGCGTGAACAGTTACGATCAAATTTATGTCATAAAACTTTAGGCCCATCTC